CGATCATTTGGGCTTAATCGCACGATCACCAGGTGATCGTGCGATGGAGGCACCTACCTAAGGGCTAGGTGGCCCAACTTTCAAAGTAGGGCCACCTACACCTTAGGTAGGTGGCCTACATCGCACAATCACCTGGTGATCATGCGATGAGGCGGCTATCGGTCTGGGGCCAAGAATCGGGGTGTTCTCGGCCCTGGAAGCCATCGCACGATCACTCAGTGATCGTGCGATGGCTCAGGACATAGCCCGGGGCCGAGAATCAGTCTATTCTCGGCCCTGGAAGCCATCGCACGATCACTGCTTGATCGTGCGATGGAGGCCACCTAAGGGCTAGGTGCCCCTACTTTTGAAGTTGGGCCACTTAGCGCTTAGGTGGCATTGAGCATTTCCCCGGCCACCTAAGTGCTAGGCACTTATACTTTGAAAGATGGGCCACCTAGCTTAGGTGGCACCACCTGAGCAGTAGGTGGCCCATCTTTCAAAGTATGGCCACCTACTGCTTAGGCAGTGTGCTGGGGCCATCAAAATATCAAATTGACCTGGTTAAACAGGTCACATAATTTTTTTTACACAGAGAAAAAATTTATATATGTATGAACTGTTTGAGTTCATAGAATTTTTTTGTGTTTGATGTTAAACAACATCAAACAAACAATTGTATTGGTAAATTTTTTAATCTCGGGAAAAAGCAACATTTATAGGTATCTACAATGTTTCTACAATGTTTCAGTGGGTCCGTCTTGTTAAAGAAATATATGTTTATTTTGAAACAGATGCAGTAACATGATCTTGAAAACATTGTTGAATTTTATTTGTTGGCTTTGGTGAACAAAAAAAACTTACAAATCCATTTTGAAACACATTTTTCAGTCAAGAATCTAGGGTTTTACCGCAACAGTTGCAGTTCAATCATGTCCAATGAGACTGATCATTCAAATTTTTTTCCTTTGTCAATGCGAAAAAAAAAATTGATGACACAGTTTCAGTACCATGTGTTTGAAAACTTTTGACAAGACAAAATTTCATATGAATATTATTTTCAGGTTCCGTGTCATCAGGTTGAGGCTAACAAAGAGAAAAATTTATCAAGACATTTTATGTTGATGTTCTTGATGAGCTATACCCGGGGGATTTTCTTTGGACAATTTTGCCAGTGTTGATTCCTATTCAGTTGCCACTTGCAGCCCCTGAGTGGCAACTGCAATGCAGCATAGGGGGACCCACTATGCCCCTTATCCCCTGATGGAACATGTGACATGGGATTTGCATCAATATCAGGAGCTTGTGCGTGGATCTGCGAGATCCTTGATTATGAGGTAAATTGTGTAAATCCGCACAGCACATTTGAGCTCATATAAAGCGAGCTTCATGCACCCAAAGTATATTGTCCCTCATTCCAATCCACCAATTTTTATCCTCTTCATCTTCATTTCGTCATCATGTTTGTCACACCTCAACAAACTTTAAGCCAACCAGTATGTGCTGGGGTGATATATTTCAACGTGGCATCACCTACTTCCACTGCGGCCAAATTGTAACATCCCCATCAGTCACCTGTGTTCCTGAATGTCTCTGCTCACACCAATGTCACACCAGAGATCAGTTTATATCTTCCAACTGGTATTTCATCGGGGTATGTCCCTACCGGTGGGTGGTGTTGATAGTTGTTTCTTAAAGCTGCTTGGGACAACTCCTCGTATACATAAAGCTCTACCTGCTGGCGGATGGAAACCTAGTACAATATTTGACCCCAGTCACCCAGTTCTCATCAGCTCGAGTGTCAACACTGCTATTGTAGAATTTGATGGGCATGATGCAACTCAATTGCAAGTCAATGTACTTATATTCATCCCAAAGTGGTACGAAGGAAGCCTTGTCCAGACAGTCAGACACTTCAAGATCAAACTCCACCGTCCTCCTCATTACCAGCCTCAAGAACATCAACTTATCCCTCTGGTGGATCTAGAAGCACAGACAACTCCCAACTGGGCCTCAGCATTTCCTGATCATGTGATAGTTGTTTCTTAAAGCTGCTTGGGACAACTCCTCGTATACATAAAGCTCTACCTGCTGGCGGATGGAAACCTAGTACAATATTTGACCCCAGTCACCCAGTTCTCATCAGCTCGAGTGTCAACACTGCTATTGTAGAATTTGATGGGCATGATGCAACTCAATTGCAAGTCAATGTACTTATATTCATCCCAAAGTGGTACAAAGGAAGCCTTGTCCAGACAGTCAGACACTTCAAGATCAAACTCCACCGTCCTCCTCATTACCAGCCTCAAGAACATCAACTTATCCCTCTGGTGGATCTAGAAGCACAGACAACTCCCAACTGGGCCTCAGCATTTCCTGATCATGTGTTGTCCAGGGAAGAGGTCTCAAAGGTTGCGTCCATTTCATGTGGTTCAGATCTTCAGCCAGTCAATCCATCAGTGATAGTTACTTCTCAGCTACAACCACATCAGAAGCAAGGCCTGGCCTTTTTGTTAGACCGAGAAAATCCAGAATCAACAACTTATCACTCCCTTTGGTTTTACAAATCAATGCCACCCTTCAGCCGGTGGAGTCACCGTCTCTGTGGTGAAGAATTTATTGTGACTGACACACAAACCAGACCAGTCAGCCCTAGGGCATCAATTCTAGCGGATGACATGGGACTTGGTAAAACTATTCAAACTATTTCTTTGATTGCTACCACACTGGAAGCATCAAGACAATTCGAACATCAGGATTCAGCATCAGATCTCACCCACGCAAACAATCACCTACGTCCATCTCACACCACTCTGTTGATCTGTCCTACTAGTCTCATGGATAACTGGGAAAATGAAGTTGAAAAACACACTAAGAAAAACAGTTTGAAAATTATGCGCTGGCATGGCATAGACAGAGTCAAACTACCTCTACGTGATATCCACTCAGCTGACATCATCCTTACAACCCCCAACACACTTTTATATGACTACCGGCTTGCTGGATTAACCCGCCTCCCTTTTACACCAGGTGGTACAGAGTGGTCATTGATGAAGCTCAGTGAGTATTAACTACTTTTGCCAAGTTAACATTTACCAAGCTGACCCTCTACTGGTCCCAGTATAATCCGTAATGAAACCAGCTCCCATGCAGTCCTCACCTCTGTGGAATCAGTCAACCGGCTCTGTCTCACTGGAACTCCACTCCATAACCGAATTGGAGACTTGCACATGCTCTTCAAATTTCTGCGCATCAAGCCATTTCACCAAGACTCTGTATGGTACCGTCAAATCACTCTGCCTGTTCATCAAGGAAATTTGGACACACTCAACCTGCTACTAGGATACTTTATGCTGAGGAGAACAAAAGCTAGCCACCTACGTGATTTACCTCCAATATATCATGAGACCATCTTATTGGACATGCATCCTCAAGTGAAACCAGTATATCAGCAACATTATGAAAGATTCATTCGGGAATTTGGGATTAGCTCTCAAATCCAACATAAACAGGGTGAATATTTCAGACAATTAAGCAATCTCAGGATGACGTGCAATCACCCTCTTTTATTCAAACAAGAACAAGAGTTCAATCAGATCAAGATTACGGAGATGGAGGAGGAGCTAGGAATCATGGTGCCTGACGGGAGGGAATTGACTGCGGAGGCCAGGCCAGCCTACCTGGAGGACTGGTCACTGAGCAGCAAGCTTACATACTTGGTTTCCCAGCTCAAACAGAAGCAGGGACTTTTGCATAAAGGTCTATGCAAGAAGACTGTTATCTATACACAATGGAGGTGTTTCATGGAGTGGTAATTATTTTTTTCTCTCAAATATCATTTGTCCTGTACACTCACCTGATCAACCCACAGGATCATGATTGCATTGGATTGTCACGGCATTTCAAGCGGGTCCTTGCACGGTGGAATGACAACTCAGCAGAGAACATGGCAACTCACCAGATTCCAGACCAACATCAAGATTGAGGCCTTTATAGTATCTATTGAAGCTGGAGGTGTTGGCTTGAATATGACCTGTGCTGATGAGGTCTACCTGATGGTGAATATGTTATCAATTATCCATATACTGTCATACCATTTAGCTAACAGGAATATCATTAGGATGCCCATTGGAATCCGCAGATTGTGCAACAAGCAATTGACCGTCTACATCAAATAGGCCAGACCCACCCTGTGAAGGTGTATCATGTGGTTGCAGGGGAATAGGTTGAACAGCACCTATTCAATGTGAGTCAATTGCTCCGGTGTCAAGAAAGCAGCATACTCACCATGAGGTGAAAACCTTTTTGTTTGCCCTTCAGGTACAGAAAAAGCAAGCTTCCCTGGCGAGAAAAGTCATTGCATTGTCGGTTCCCAAGGATCAACTTAAAGATTGCATCAACCCACGACACACAATGGATGTCTTGGAGGATATAGGCAATGTGAATGCATGCTATGCAGAATATGCTTAGATGCTCAAGGGTTGCATGAATCAGTCCAACAATATATGTAGAATTTGTATTCCAACTTTTCACCTCATGTTTTTTCTATCTTTGAAAAGTTCTCTTGTGTCCTTTTTTTTCTTCTTCCAAAAACAAGAGTATTGTATCATGTAGTTTGTTTACTTTGCTCACAAAAATCAATACTATTGACCATTACAAAATAAAGTACTCAGTTTTCCAAAACCATAGAATCATCACCTTCAACACGGGCAAAGGGAGTGTTACTCCAAGACAAATCTTTCAATCTTGCTAATACAACATCAAAAGAACCCCAAAAATTTCCAATGTCCAAATCCCCTCTCACAATTCCAACTTCTTCCATGACTTGTTCAACAACCGGGGAAAACCACTCAAGGGTTGTGCTCCACAAGTGTTCTTGCTCCGGGTAATCATCAGCAATGATAGCATCCACTGCTTCACCTGGGACTGGTATGAGGTAATCAATCCCACCAAATTCTTCAACGGGGTTTTTGTAGCAGTAGTCTGCAGAACATCCCGTAGGTAATTTAGACCGCTTGTCGTATTGTCTGCAGAAACCATTGTAAAACTTGACCCATTTGTCCAGAGCTTGTTGAAAGACGGGGATAAATAGGTGGAGAAACAAGGCCCTGAAAAGCAACAATAAAGATTTCAGCATGGAATCACCAAAGAAAAAAAAAGGAGCTTCACCTAGCCATTGGATCATATTGATCATATAAATCTTGATCAATGCGCTCTTGAATTTTAGCTTTGATATTTCCAGTCAGTCCACAAGTCATTTTGTCCCAGAAGCACTCAATCTTTTGGTTAGGAGGGGATGGAACATATTGATGATACGGCCAGTTTGGAGCTCTGGAACCGTAAGTTTCTCCGAAATAAAGTTGATGTCCCGCAAGGGGAACAGTCTCAGTTCCTCGATCTGTGGTGAGCTTTTTGGGAATGCCACCTTGCTTTTTTACAAGCCCCAGATACCACAAGTAAACATGGCGGGGGTCGCTGTTGGTGACATGAGCATGAAGTCCCAAAAGCTTTCGAGACCAGCAATCAATGAAACCATATATACCAATTCCAAAGTTCATCAACTTGTTGTGTCCATTGGAAGCCCAAACCTCATTGGGACCACCCGCATAGTATTCCCGTTGCTTGAGTTTATGAGCAGCTCGCATTCTCACAGCATCTGGCACCATTGCCTTCATAATAGCCGCAATAACATCACTATATCAAAGAGGATATCAAATGTAATTAGCATCAGAGCAAAAGGAATCAAGAAGACCCAAAGACTTGCCGGTGGATGTGAAGCTCGTGTTCCTGACCTAGCATCTTCTTGACACTCTTGATTTCAAGTACATTTCCATATTCAATCTGAATTTCTTCAATCTTGTTACATACGGTGGCATAAGTTACTACACCCATGTCAAGATAATCCTTTTGGCGGTGAAGATTGAGTTGCTTCTCAACTCAAGCTAAAGTTGACCGGCTGATGATGATGTTGTGTTTGTTTTTGAGGGCAATGAGAGCTCGCTTTTGGTTCAGAGATTGTTTGTAATTATCTAATACTGCATCCTTTACAACCTCCACATCATAATTTCCTTGTTGTTTCAAGTCCCATTCTTTGATCCGTCTTCTAACAGTTCTTACACATACTCGGATGTTGTGCCGTTGCCAAACAGTGTTGCATACTGTTTGTGCTGGCCAGTTGTTAGCCACAGCTTCTTCCACAAGCGGTCGCAAGATTTCATCAGATATTTTCGCTGGCATGTTGGTGTGTAGTTGGTGATGGAGACTGAAGGTGTTTGGATGAGGATTGCAGAAGATTGAGGACGGTCGAGGAATATTCAGGATAATCAAAGAAGATCAAGGATGGTCTAAGAAGATTGAGGACGGTTGACGAAGATTGAGGAAGATCAAGGACAGTCGACAAAGAAAGAAGAAGGTTGGGGACGGTCGACGAAGATTGAAGAAGATTGAGGACAGTCAACAAAGAAAGAAGAAGATTGAGGACGGTTGTCGAAGATTGAGGAAGATCGAGGACGGTTGTCGAAGATTGAGGAAGATCGAGGACGGTTGACGAAGATTGAAGACGGTCGACAAAGATCAAGGAAGATCAAGGACGGTCGACAAAGAAAGAAGAAGATATGAGACGGTTGACAAAGAAATAAGAAGATCGAGGACAGTTGACGAAGAAAGAAGAAGATCGAGGACAGTTGACAAATATTGAGGAAGATCAAGGACGGTCGACGAAGAAAGAAGAAGATTGAGGACGGTTGACAAAGATTGATGATGATGAAAGAGGTTTTGGAGGAGAGCGAGACAGGAAGCAGGTACTTTGAAGCTCTTGAGACAGATGGTAGAATTTCTCCAGTTGGAGGTGTTGATACCTGTGAGACCGAGCTTGTAGCTAGTTGGCCAACATGTGGTTTTTGGCTGCAGTAGAATCTAACATTGGTGTTTGAATTGTACAGTTTGATAGATGTATTTTTTGGTTTTTGGTTTTTTGATTTTTTGATTTTTGGTGTTGCTGGTACTTTTTGTCGAAAGGTGACAATGCAATGAAAACGGTGTCGGCCACTGGAAATTTGGGCAAAAAGGGGGTTCTGCCATGAATTTTACTCCAGTACAGGGGTTTTATCCCTGTATTTGAGTATTTTCTGGAGTTTGGTCTTCAATTTTTGAATTTTGCACCCGGGAATTGTGATTTTTGATTTTTGAAATTTCGCATTGTCACTTTGGAACGTCTCGCATTCGGTAGGAGGGAATGTAGGCGCTCAAAAAAAGCGCCTACATAGCCCAAATGAAATGTAGGCGTCATTTGTGTACGCCTACATTCTAAAAATAGAATGTAGGCGTACACAAATGACGCCTACATTGGTTTTTCAGCCTGTAGGCGTCATTTAAAAAAGAAAAAAGCGCCTACAGGCTGTATGTAGGCGCTTTTTGGCGGAAAACATTCATGTAGGCGTATTTTGGACAGCGCCTACATGGATTTCATGTGGGCGTCAAATAGCAACGGCCAAATGACTAAGAATTTTTTAGTCTCCATTTGTACCACTCAGTTCCCATACACCTCTAGACCGCAACCACCATTGTAGGAGTTGATCAACAACTCCTCAGTCATCTTTCTTTCCTATTTCTTTTTTTTCATTCAAAAGTCTTGAACTGAATGGTACATGAACATAGTGGAGGAAAATTTTATTCTATACAAGGTACTGGGCAGCCAGCCGCCCACCGGTAATGGGTGGCTTGCCACCCTCTGAACCAAGTGCGCTAGGCAAACTTGTTTGCAAAGAAGCAGTGTACAACAAGTTTGATGTAACCGCAGTTCTTAGATCAGACCTCTCTTTCCACAACACAAATGGGACGAAGATAGTGGTGATAGGTGTGAGGGAAACAAAAACCGCTGCTCCAGGAGAACTACAGTACTTGGTGTTACGGACCACGGGTGGCATACTGTGCACGGTAGTGGTGTTACAGGAGTTGGTCAAATCCTTATACTGGGACAATGGCGACCCAAGACTGCCGCTGGAATCAACATGATCACACAAGCCTCAATGCTGAAGGCCATGGATCGTGCCTGGGGAAAGTCTTCAAAGATGACAGGCCATTCCTTTTGTATCGGCGGAGCGACACTGCTCACAAAAGCTGGCGTATCGACAGAGAGCATCAAGAGCCTGGGCAGATGGAAGTCAGAGTGCCACCGCCTCTATCAGAGGGTATGGAGCGACGGAGACGCAATACTTTGCAAAGACGTCATTAACTTGACCTAATGATCACAGCCCATACCACAGTTTTTTGTCCTTCTACCTTTTGTCCTTGTTTCCATCCTTCTACAGATTTGAATGTCTCTTGTAATAAGTCCTAGTAATGAAATCATCTGTGATAGTCTCTCTTCACTAATAAAGCTACAGTCTCTCCACCAAGAACCAAACAGCACTAACCTCCTAAGAACTACAGGAGGCGGAGGGTCAGGTTTGGGGAAGCCCTAACAGGCTCAGGCCTGACATCAGCCCTGAGGCAAGGGATGTCGGTCTTCCCCAGGAAAAGATAAACATTAGTAAGCGGGAGAAGAGTAAGAAACCCCCAAAAGAATACTCCTCCAGGAATACCCAGGCCCAGGAAAGGAGAGTTCAATGATGGAACTCTCCGCTCTAGGGCCTATACCCCGCTACTAACCTTCCCTCACCTAGTGTTACTAGGCAAGGGAAGGACTATTTGTGATATGTGCAATGAAAAGATGTTATGAGGACAAATGGATTTTCTCTTCCACCGCTCTCGCTGAGCTATGATTATCTGGGGTCCACCATTTTCTCCTTCCTAAGTAGTGTTCAGGAATTCCTTGAGTGAATCCTTCTTCCAATCCCTTTATGACTTCTTTTACTTCTTCTTCTACACCCCATTTCCTCGCTAACTCCTTCCATTTCCGTATATTCATCTCACATTTTGCTTTCAATGGCCATCTTCCATGAATGTGAGTTTTCTTCTTTTCTTGATACCCTTCACAGCCCCCAATCACAAGTCACTGGCAGGCCAGTGCCTCCCACCGACCCTAGCAAGTTATGAGCAAGTTATCAGAAAGTTATGAAATGGATATCAAGTGGATAACATTTGATTGAGAATTTGTTGAGAAGTGGTTGGGATACCACCAAAATTTGAGATGATGTCTTACAGCATCCTAAACCTGTACAAACCTGCTCCTGTATTTCCCCACCAAGAATATATAGTT